GACTGACTCTTAGATTGATCAGACTCCAACACACTTGTAGATTGATCAGATTCCAACACCTTTACCGGCTCTGTTCTGCTATGGAGGAAAAAAGCAGGCTCGTTTGGTAGAGGAACTGTGACTGAGTAACTGTTGAGCATGAGAACAATAGTTGCCATTGTTGGCCTCTCTGCAGGATCTTCCTGAACACATAGCAAACCAATTTGGATGCACCTAATGACTTCATTTCTTGCATAAGAATCTCCAAGAATTGGGTCCAACAGCTCCAATGGTCTCCCATCCTTCCAAAGTTTCCAGGCCTGCAAAAATTCATCAACCAATTTGAAAAATGTTATCCTTTATTCTTTCTTTCTTCTTATTATTAATGGAAAATGTTGTAACTATTTACAGGGAGAAAATAATTCAGAGGCTGATATATACTCACATAGCTCATTAGGTCTCCAGTTCCTTCTGTTTGATAAAAGTTACTATTCTTCCTGCCACTTAAAATCTCTAGAACTAAAACACCAAAACTATACACATCTGATTTCACAGAGAACTGTCCATGCATAGCATATTCTGGAGACATGTAACCGCTGAAAAACAAGCACCAATGTTAGATATAACAACAACAAAGAATCTTTACCCATGTGTCAATAGAACACCAATGAAAACAATCTATCTCTTTGAATGTCTAAATGTAACAAAAACTGTTACCATTAGATTGATTATCTTTCATGCAATTCTATTCACATTTTTCTAGTGAGTCAATAGTAAGGATGTGACAACAAATGAGACAACTATGGAACTTAAACCAATGATTGAGGTGTACCACTTACTAGGTTCCAACAATTCTATTAGTGCTTCCTTGAGTTTGATCAACTCCAAAAATCCTTGCCATTCCAAAATCTGAAATTTTTGGATTCATGTCACTATCTAGCAATACGTTGCTTGCCTTGAGATCCCGATGAATGATTCGAAGCCGAGAATCCTCGTGAAGATAAAGAATTCCTCGAGCAACACCTCCTATTATCTTGTAACGTCTTGACCAATCCAACAATCTTTGTCTATCATCATCTGCATAAGAATAAAACAAATCAAAATTGACATACTTCTACTGTTCTGCTGTGTTACCATGTTTGAGGGCAAAGGACACAGACTGAATAGAAAATAGTCAAGGCTCTTGTTAGGCACAAATTCGTAAACAAGTATCTTCTCTTCTCCTTCCACACAAAATCCTAACAGTCTCACTAGATTTCTGTGCTGAAGCTTAGCCACCAACACAGCTTCATTCTTGAATTCTTCAGCTCCTTGTCCAGAGCTCTTTGATAACCTCTTCACGGCCATTTCTTGTCCATTAGGAAATCTACCCTGAAAATGTAAAACAAACAATCACTAGTCCCAACATCAAAGCTTCAAATTTCAAAATTGAATTCTCAGGACCTGGCATGTACATTACCTTGTAAACAACCCCAAATCCACCTTCACCTAGTCTATTACTGTCTGCAAAGTTGTTTGTTGCAGCTTTAATTGAGTTGAGATCATACTGCAGAGACTCTACATTGGTTATATCAGTCACAACTGCACAACCAGACACAAATATATCAATAAAAATCTATGAAACCTTAAAGATAATTCTGGATTGAAAAAAGAAGTCAATTTTTCACCATTATCTCCCTGCACGATATCATACTTCTTCCTTCCTCTCCTTGTTAGCAAGCAACACCCCACAATGAAAAGCAAAATAGCAACACCAACCGGCACAACAATGGCAACAATTATCACCCCTGATTTTTTGCCTTCACCTGCATAAGAAATAAGACGCGTCACTGATAAAATTGACATTTTGATTACTTATCTCACAATTCACATTCAACAGCTGATTACCTAGAAACTGAAAAAGTATAGAATTTTGGCAATTTCCCCACTCATTTTCAGGCTTAGCATGGATGGTTCCAGTGACAATTAATTTACCAATACCCAAATTTTCTGAATTTGGTGAACGGAGAATGAACCGCCCTAGATAAGATATTTTAAAAAGTTTGAACGTTCAATACTTGACTTTTTTTTTTTTTTGTTTTTTTGGACAAACATTCAATAGTTGATTAAATACTTTTTTTTTCCATCAAATAGTTGATTACTTTTTTCAAGTATTTTTCTTACATCTTCTTAGAGACATAGATTAAGTGTGTAATTAATGCACTTTTAGCTATTAAGTAATATGAAAAAGAATTTTTCTATCCTCCACCCTTATGGTCTAAATTAAGGTTATAATTATTGGCCATTTTTAGTATTAATTTACATAGAAAATTATGAAAACTAATATTAATTTTAATTTCATTGTCACCTAGATAAATTTAATTGGATAATTGTTAAAATCAATATCAATTTTTATTTTTTATTTTAATTAATATAAAAAATTACAATAAATACATTTTTAAAACAAAAGTTAGAAAAACATTATGAAAAAATTTTAAAAAATGGATATTAATTTTAATATTAATATTATGTATATTAATTAGTTAATTGTTAAAATTATAATCAAAAAAAATTTTTTATATAAATTTTATTGGCAGAACCCTCAAATCCACTCTAAAATAATATCGGTAAGGACATATTCACCCTTAAAAAAAACAGAGACAAATTACCCCGTAAAATCATAAATCAATACAAATCATCTCTTTTTTCAATGTTTTTCATTAAAAAATATTGACGTGACAAACAAAATTCTGACGCTTTTCATTGAAAAATGGGTAATTTGTATTGATTTATAATTTGAAGGGTCAATTTATCCCTATTTTTTTTTAAAGGTGAATGTATCCCTACTAATACTTTTTTAAGTTGGATTTGAGGGTTTTGTAAATTTTATTTAAATAATAATACGGGACTGTTGGCTAGAACCTGCTTAGGGGAGGGGGGTAGGGGCACTGGGAAGCACGTTCGAACCTCCGCCTTGATGTGGACGTTGAGCATTAAAGTGCGTGGGCCCGGCCAACACAGCCATACAATAAATTAATAATTAAAAAAAATATATTAATTACTTTCTAACCTAAAATTTATTAATTTCTTTTATGGCCACCAATAGTTGACGACATAGAGAAGAGGAAAAAGATAAGATGTTGACATTTCCACTTTACGCTGCGTGGTTCAAGAGAATTAATTTGTTTGGTAGTTGGTACCCAATCTTTTCTAAATTCGATGAATGAAGAATGGCCAGCAAGCACGGCACTAGATAAGATATTTTA